CCAGCAAACCAAAGCGTTCTCTAAAGAGAACTGAGCAAGAAATTTGCTGGATCACTATGACATTTGGGACAGGATACGCTCTGATTCTGACAATAAAAACCTTTGCAAAGCGCGACTCCTTTTCAAAATGTTCTCTTGCGATGGACCCCCCCCCCTATTCCCCCTATTTCCCATCGTCCATCCTAGCTACAATATTCCTCGGATTTTCCATACTCAGTACCATGTTTCAAAGGAAATTCTCCTGGAAATTTTACAGATCCTCCCCTCAAAACCGCCGTCGGGAAAGAGAGAAGGTATGAGATACACTTTATTCCTGAAACAGGTAGGCATGGCATTTCAAGCGTGGCATGGAGAGGGTTACTAGTGGGATGTTTCAGTTTGAGACACCTATCATCTTGTCCTCTGTCGGAAAAGACACAATTGTCCCAAAATAAAATTATACTATTAAAAGCCACAGCCATGTTTAGTTGAAGAATGCAGCCACGTTCACCGCATCGAAAGGATTTCGAGTGTATGTGGCGCACTCGAAATAAGAAACCTTGAAAACTGAGCAACCGGAAACATTTCGCTCAGAGGCCCACGTCGTATGTGGAGACCCCCTTTGCTTGGGATACGAAGCGCCCTGATTCGGGACATGCTCAAAAGCAGCATAGTTGTTTATCCTCCTAGACAAATTCAGCGCTCATTTTCGAATGTTGAAAAAAGGAGAGGTTCGGACTAGAAGCTGCGCATGTGAGAGCTCATCTCTGTTCCAGTATATCACCTTCTTTGTGGCAGTTTCTCAAAAAGTCATTTGGGTTGTTTGTACGATATCAGGAAACTGAGGGCGCGAAGCTCGCAATTATCCTTGTCGGGTGGGCCTTCCCTGTAGAAGGTGACCGGCTCCGATGCCACACAGGGTACCGTCTTTTCGACGCTCAAAAGTGAGCGAGACGGACGCTGAGCGCTCGTGAGAGCAACGCTTCACCTCTCAGTTAAAGTTACGCGCTACCAAAGAAGCTAGCAAGTACCAAAAAGCTCGTCATTTCCTACTAGCATTTCTTTTCATTCGGTATAGAAAGAAGGAGCGACTAACCAAACGATTGAGTGAAAGTGTATGCAAAAAGTCCTCCATCTGCTCGGACAAGCACGAAGATGAAGAAGTCATCTGGTCGGAGGCTTTCGGCAACACTTTCCACCTTTTCCTCCCTGCTGAGTTACTTGGAGTCGACCTCATTACCCCAGACTTATTAGTATTAGAGTTTTAGTATGTATTAAAGGACAAGGATAAAGTCTTCGCCGTTGATCAATCCCTTTGTGGGATGCGGCACGCATTCTACTTCCATTCAGAATCGTAGTGGCTTATTGAATGCGATGTGGCCTATACAATGACTTGCGGTGGCCAGCCGATGTACAAGTCAGTGTTTTATCCTCCCAGACGAATCTGGTACCAATTCACCGTCCCCGGAGGGTAGAAGGCTTGGTTGGCCTGGGCGGGTGTCGACCCGGGATTCGAACCCGGCGCCGCGCGAGTGGTAAGCGCGCCACCTGTCGCTACACCACCTCCCACCTCCGCCTTAGTATTTATTACACGAGGAAATTGTGTGAATTTTGAATTTATAACTGACAGCTTAGTGGGTTCCGCTTCAGGACTTCATGAAGACCCATCTAGATGTCGCGATGGAAACATAACTGAGGGAGCATCGCTTTCATAATGCCGTGTCATCCGTCTTTGTATTACGACCCCCTTCGGAACAAGGAAACATTCCGTTCATTCTTAGATTACTACACTTCATATACTGGGTTTCCTCTACGATGAATGGTTGAAATTACAATTTGTTGTTAGAGGAGCTCAAGCTTCTCGCCAACACAATTGATTTCTTTTCCTTTCAGAGATAGAACAAAATAAGAGAAGTAGAAAGAAAAACTGCAGAAAAAAAGCAGTTCAGGAACTCACTGAGAGTTGTGGGATGGGCATAGGTCCAAAGTCGATAAACTCCTTTCCGACGATCGGAGCAATTGCAAGAGGTGTGGGTGTTTTCACACTGAGTAGGCCGCACGCTGACGAAATCGAGCATAAATCCATATTACTAAAATCGAGACATCTAAAGAAAGAATTGCAGTTAGGTAGATGCCTTCCCTCATGCTTGGCGAACCCTAGTGAGCGCAGGCGCGTAGTGCGCTTAGCTATGGCTGGCCACCAGGTGGTCGGGCAGAATGTGGAAACAGCATTCCCCATCCCCCCCCCTCTCTAGCTCCGTTCCCGTGCACTTCTACACAGAGAAAAGAGAAAGTGGCACGCTGCTGCAGATGCGGACCCATTCTCTTCTCCTTTATGGTAAGGACCACGATACACGAAGATGTTCGTACTGGGCGATCGTCTCTGCTGGCGCTATTTCATGAGGAATTGAAATGCATTGTTTCTATTTGGCTGCACAATGACATTTTCCTAGTTTTCTTTCAAATTATGGTTCAATCCCCACCGCAACCATCACTCATAGAGTGGAACTTCATCAATTTACGAAAACCCTCGGTAAAGATGAGGTTATGTGGGAAAAATTGGCAAGTGTAGATACTGCCACCCGTATTACCTTCCAGACAGACCAGGTACTTGGCTGCAAACTCGATAAGGTTGTGGAAAAACACGCGTTTACATTGGCTACACTTCCTCCTCCCCCCACCTTCCCCCCACACCCATACTTGCCATGGAAGTCGGGTGGGCAGACGATCTCAAAATGTGGTTGGTCCACCACAAGCGATTCACCGTTTACACGCCAAGATGAAGTCTGTAGAATTTGCGCGTTGCAAGCGGAAAGGGTTATCGGGTCAATCGCCCATGTGCACTACACGCCCCTGGGGCGCGATAGGCGTGGCTGCGTTCTTCACTCGAAAACAGCATATTATAGGTTGTTCTTGAGAGATTTTGATTTGAGACAAATGCAACGTTTTCTCATGGTTTTAATTGTCCCCGAACGAAAATATCTTCCAAAGCGCAGCCTGCGCCACGACAAAACGAAATAAGTAGCCACGCCGACCCCGCACCAGGGATTTGACGACAGTCAGGAGGCGTGGCATTAGCCCATTCATCTTAACACCGGGCCAGATGTTGCAACTATAACAATGTATAACCATCGCTACTTTTAAGATATGCCACCAACAGCATGGTATAACAACAATGTTGTCAATGTTACGAACCACATCTCATTGGGGACAAACTGGTTCTTGCTGACGCCATTCTCGCACACGACACCAATCATGAAGGAGTTCTTCTCCAGCGAGATCTCCAGCATAAGCTTATTTTTTCCTTCCTTTACGGGTTCAGTTACCTCGACCGTTCCTGGAATACGCATACGAGCTTTAACGACGAAGAATTATGAAGCAATAGAAATGTACTCGCACGCACCTCTCAATACCTTGAAATGACCGGGAAACGTGAACTGTGGCTTTCCTCCGGCACAAATTGGCTTCTTATTCTTATCGTAGGTTCCGATCTCCAGATCTTTGACCAGAATTTTACCCTTTCCTGAATATGATCCTGTTAGTTGTCAAAGTAAGCGAACAGAAGAAATAACCCCAGGATAGCGTGAATGATGTTCACGAGATGTAGTCATGTTTACAGCCCAGGTACCAAGTCCTAAATAACTGCTTTACAACACGGCCTTATACCACTCCCCTAACTGGAAGCAGATACGCCTTGAATTTTGGGTAGCCATGAATGCTGCGAGCTTAATTTCCATCCTCCCCGAAACCCAAGCATGTGCACTGTCACCTAGAATCTCACAGAAATCTGAACTAATGAAGAATACGCAGCCCATCTCCCATGATTTTTGACAGGTTCTTTCACCATCTAACCTCGGAACCCAGAAGTTGCTCAAATGTGCAATTTCTCAAGAAGAGTGATTTTGACAACGTAGGATGTTATCCGAACCCCCGAGGATGGCGTCTTGTGCCCATCTGTCGCACGTTTCTACTTGTGTTTTTATCTTCCGTTCACGTTTCTACTGTAATCCATTCTTACTCATGCGTTTTTCTAACTACTAGTGGTTCTTTGTGATGTCAATGTAACGTTGTCGTTAGGTGAAGTGAAAGAAAATGGTGAGGGATCTATAGGAGGCATTTATACACTCTACCACCGTTCTCCCTATGTATAAAGTTGAAGCGATTCCAACGACCAAATAAATGGCGTTGTACAAACAAGGAAATGTACAGCGTAACATCCAGAAGGACTGGGCACTAAGATACCTACTCAGCATTATTGCAATTTGTCACCTCTGAATCAACCATCGAGGCGGAGGGTAAAGAGGCAAGTGGTCTGCTTACCATGCGTGCGGTCCAAACCTCAAGTAATGGTTCTTCTCCCGCCGACGCCGACCAAACCCCCTTATTGGATCAGTGAATTTGTAACAAGTGCTTTCAAAGAGAGGAAAATAAAGATTTAAAGATCGCCGCGGCTCCCCCAAGTCATTGTATTGGCGATGACGCACTCAACAAGCCGCTGCGACTATGAGATGAAGTAAAGCGTGTCGCATCCTAAAAGGGATCACTCAACGGCGTAGACTTGTGTCTAATTGGTCACCCACCAATTTCTTACTTCTCAAAAATTCCTAAGGGGATAGGGGAGGGGGGGGGGGAGATTCCGATCTCTTGAATAGCACTTCGAACCTACAAAAGGAGCTGTTAAAACAGGCACCATATAGCTGAGAATTCCCTCGAAACCCATTCGAGGGATCAAAAGGAAGGATTAATAGAGTTCCCAAGTTCTCACTGCAAGCTGGTAAGTCTCCTCACTAGAGATAAGAAGTGAAGGAGGGACTAGCACGAATAAGCAACGTTTCCATGAGTTTTTGAGGTGCAGTAGCCATCTAACGCCAAAGTATGGCAGGCAGTCACTTTGAAGTTCACGTAAGGTCTGGTGTTAGTGTTGCCACGACGTTTGGGCTATACGTGTGTAAGGAATACTTTATACAGGAAGATTCCCCACTTGGTAGATCATATCAGTAATCAAGCACTCAGGCCCTCATTGCGCAACTCTCTGTGAGCCAAAGTCAAAATGAAATGCTGCTGGGATGCGAATGTAATGGATTCGCTGCATGAAATATCGAGATTAGAACCTGAAGAGGACCACGACTTCAAACACTGCCATGGGCGCATTTTTTGGCGAGGCATGACTTCTGTTGCTTTCAATCAGAATGGCTGGCTTGAAGTTGGTCATGTTTTTTTTTTCGTTGCCTCCTACGCTCACCACCTACGCTCACTTATACAAATTAAGAACTTGAGTATGACCGAAACTTGTTTTGATTACTGACCTTTGGTTGTGTCGTAGACTTTGATAACGTTATCCTTTCCATCAACACATTTCTTGGAATAGACGAGGACTGCTCCAACCGCAAGAAAACCGAGAATCGATCGAAGCATCCTGAATGCTCTCTAGGAATCTCGAAAGTTGAAGGAAAACGGGTAAAGTATATAGTGACTGTGTTGAGAGTCCAAAAGAGGCGAAATCATGACGCGGAGTGTTGAGTTTGAGAGGCTTCACCAGATGAGGTATAGCTGGACCAGAGGTGAAATCAGGGATGCCATAAGTTGGGAATTCCCCAGTGGGGTTCCTATTTGGTCCCTGTGAAGGGGAATCGTAGTTAGTCTAAAAACTTTCAATTGTTGATTTTTCTTGTTTCATGGCCGTTATTCAAACTGTTGGGGAACTCTAAAGGTGGGGGTCATCATATCGTGTTGTAGTGGGGAGAGGGAGGGTTGCATTTGTCTCTAACATACGGGAGAATCTTTTCCCGGTTGTTGACTTTTTGGTTTTCCTGTTTACACGTGCTATACCCCTCCTCCACAGCACGGAAAATTCTTGGAAAAAAGTTCGGGAAATTTGAAATTTTGGAAAATGTTAGGCGGTTGCTATGGGTGAAAGTTGGCGAAATCGTGGGAATTAAGAAAGTGGTAGGTAGGATGGGGAAGGAGAGAGAGGGTCGTAATTTCCGAACATTTTCTCCCAGCGGCAAGATGTGCTCTGGCTGAAATTTACCCACATAGATAACAAATTCATTAAATAGCATTGATTTCAAAGAGACGTTTAACAGCTGCAGAAGTTGAGTGAAGGCTCTTTCGCAACAGATGAATCTTATGTAGGGGGACTAGTAATGACGTGTCGTTGCTAGTTTGGTGAAGTTCTACATCTGCGCTGTGATCGCGGTGAGTGCCTTATCAGGTTGTAAAAGGTACATGGATGGAGCTGATATGCGACGAAATGCCCATTTGGGTGATGTTGCAACTTGACCTCAACGATAAAACTATAGCGAACCCTTTGACGGAGACCTCTACTAACCTCTGAGGTATCTATAAACTCGTTTATAAAAGCTGCTCTGAAAATTTTGGAGGAAAGCCAGAGTGCCAAAAAACAAACCCGTCACTCGTTGTCCGTCAGCTGAATCAATAACGGTAATGGATTATTTCAGTGGTGTGTGTAGTCGATTCTCATCTGACCTTGTTCAACAGAGAGAAAAAGACCGCATCGCAATGGATAATAGTAATCTTGCTGAAATCGAGTCCTATGTGTGAAAGGATTAATCTTTTCGAATTTGCTGATCAATGAAATACTAACTATCACGAGGGGGCAGAACCCTTTTAAGGCTGAAAAGTTATGTGAGGAATTGTATTCCTCTATTTTTCAGGGTATAGAGCAAATGTTTCAAAAAATACGTTTTGAAACTTGTGCGCTTTTAGCTTCATACCATGAAATTAAGAATAGTTCTAGCTGTACGAAGACCGTCCCAGCTTCTCTCTTCTTGAAACCTCGGCATGGTAAATTGTAACTTGTGTTAGTAATGTGGTGCCTCACAAAATTGGTTGGTGGAACTTTACATAAATCGGTCATACGTTCCACTGATTCGTCGTCTTCAGAGGCCAAAAGTGGTTTGAAATTCAGATTTATGCTCTACACCACCAAGCTCTTAATCTTCTTCTGCGGTTCCCACATTCTGTCGGGAAGAGAAATCCTGTCCTCGGAGAGAAATCTGTTCTGTCCTCGAATAGAATTCCATGCAATTCAGAAAAGAAACTCGCCGAAGACGACGAATCAGTCGAAACGTTTGATAAAAGCTCCACCTACCGACCTCGTGAGGCACAACATTACTAGCACAAGTTCTAGCAGTAATTCATACCCGTCTCATGTGCTTAATTACTTTTGGTATAATAGAGTCAGATGATGAATCTGGAGAGTAAGCGTTTCGAACTTTAACCCATTGCGTACCGCGTGCTGCACATGGTGAAGCACTCTTAGTGTGAACTCATTTAGCATTGTTAGATGACTGGAAAGAGTCGGTATATTCCTGAAGTCGTCTGGGACAAAATATGTGTGGGGGAAATTGCGAGATTGAATAATAGCTAAGTTGCTGGCATTTTTCGAGTAATACCTCAACTATTACATTTTTTAATTAACTCTCCTTTACCATAAAACCGAAATCCTGCTTAGTACACGACTGAAAAATTGTAAAATGGTGTGAGTGAACAGCTTCTAAGCACACTGCGTCACTTTTTTTAACTCCTCTTAATTTTATCAAGCTTTTTTGGCTAGTTTCGCATTTTTCGGCTTTACACTTTTATCACGTAACAATTGAATCCCCTTTAGCATACGTATACTTATAAAAGTGATGCATAATACGATGTGTGTGCAATATTTTTATGTTATATGTATAAGATAAAAATCTTATGTTTTTATACTCAGCGCGCCAGAAATCGCGTCGCGCAAATACACTGCGGTACGCAATGGGTTAAAGAAATCAAGTGACAGGGTAGATATGACGAACACAAGAACTGCTCTTCTGTGACCAGATATTCCGCGCTCGTTGTCGCGTACGCCTCTACGACCTTGCAAACAAATGCGTATTATACCTAAAAAGTGACCGAATGAATGAAAGGTCGTTCTTGTCGAGTTGGAGAAGGTTGCATTCTTTGGTTTGGTTCTCTCGATTGAAAGCTATGTCCTATATAAACTTACACCATCTACCTGGATCTATAGGCTTGGTCCACCAATTCGAGAACATCAGCTGTTTTTCAGATATTTTTATCTTTTACCGTAGGTTGAAATGATGTTTGAAAGGGCAATTTCTCGAATTCTTCTAGTTCTCCAGATTCTGGAGAAAGCGACACCGTCGGCTTCAGATCTTTGACATTCCTGCCTGGAAACTAAAGAAGAACTTGACATTTGAGGGAGAGTATGTTAAAATTCACTGAAAGTAGAATTGGACGCTGTTATAAGAGGTCAGCAGGGATAATCGGCAGGAGCTCACAGTACAGGCAGTTGATACAATTGCAATGAGTCGGGACGGTTTCAGAAAGGATGAATGAGCCCGCCTGCCTCACCACCGTTTGCGTCATTGTTTTCTTCCTGAATCGATCACTAACCGGTTACCATTGACAGAAGACGGCAGGAGGAGACGGCCCATTCCGCCTCTCCTGACACCGCCCCGAGTGATTGCGAGGATATCAGCTACAAGTCGGTTCGTCGGCGGACACCGGCGCGCCCCCTCTGGGACAATCCGGCTTCCGGCGCTTATTGTTAGCTTCTTCCATATGTCTGAAGTTTGTTACCCTGCCTTTCTTTTATCCTGAACAGATGATCATCGCCCTTGGCCATTAGAATCATATCGGTTATTTTCAACACTATTATCGTGTACGGGATGGTGGTGTATGGAATGTTGATAAGGAACATGAATCATGTGGAGGTGAGAAGAAAGACGGGTATTAGTTGAGCGTTCAACCATGCAAGGGCAGGTGGGTGCGATAAAGCCACGCTCAGGACGGGCCGTATCACAGAGAAGGCTCGTCGGCGTGAGCCGGCAGGTCAGCTGGTATCAAATACCCCTACCGCTGTTTGACAGTATAGTTGCCGATGCACTGGAGCTCACTAGAAATGGGTGCTTGAATGCACGCCTCGCCCACTGTTGGCGGGCTCTTGACACGTCCCGGACACACTCAACTCTCGTCACATGTTTCTCTTCCCCAACGGTTTTTTCTGATCCCTAAGTCAGTCAGGTGCAATTGTGGAAGTTCGTAGCAAGCTTCGCCCTTCCCAAGTACGGTTCGACCATTTTGATAATGCCTTCTCCCCCACTTTCGCTCCGTCCAACTCGACACGTGCTTCGCTCACAACGGCCTATTTTACGTCAACAGTCGAGCTCTTGCACACCTTTCGTCACCTTGTGCGGCGTCTGAAGTGCTCTGGAAATATTCTGCAGATTTCTCCGTTTGGACCCGCCCACCTCGCCGCTAGCTCCTCCCACAATGGGTGTGCCTCGCGCTTCTCAACCGGTTACCCTTCGCTTTCTTCCGGTGTCTGGAATGCTTTAGAGCCTTTCACATATTTTTAGGTTTGGCTTCGTCCACAACTAGTGTGCCTCGCGTTTCTCAACAGGTGATCCCAGGTGAT